AGAGACGGGGCCGGGGGCGGGGCCTCTCACTTGACCGCGCTGTCTGCTAGTAGAGGAGCAGCCGCAGACCGAGCGCCCGAAGCCGCAGCCGGCGGTTCCCCCGCGGCCCAGCGCCGACCTCATCCTGCACCGCTGCAGCGAAAGCACCAAGCGGAAGCTGGCGTCAGCTGTCTGATCCGGGACACCGCCCCCAGATGGCGCCTTGGCTCTTCCGCCCCCTCCCGCCAGAATCCCTGTCTATGTGTATAGAGCCCCCGCCTCTACATCACCTAGCTTTCGTCCACACTCAGTAAACGTTGCTTGGAATGGACAGAGGCTTTGCAGAGACGCTGGGGGTGCTGAGCCCCGCCCTTAGGTGTATTTCTAGAATTAGGACTGATTGCTGTGAGCTCTTCTGGGGAGAAGTTGCAATGGCTGAGGTCAGGTTGCATACTGCCCTGTCCTTGGTCAAATTTGCACAAGATCAAATTTGCACAAGGCCAGTTGCAAGATGAACTACCGGCCCCCGCTGGCCATTTGGACAGAAACTGCCTGTTTGAACTCTGGCCCCACAGCAGAACAGGGTGGACACAGTGCATGGTCAGGGGGGTAAGCACGGTGCGTGACCTTGTGTAGGAGGCTGTGCCAGAAAGCAAATATTCAATGATGAACAGATCCTCACTACTTACTCTAGTATGACTGTCAGCCCATGGCCTCAAAGGCTTTGCTGGTGAGTCTTTCCTAAAATGCAAAGACAGTAAGGTGCAAACTGGAGCTGTGAATATTGCAAAAGATGCAGCTTGTCACAAAGGCCATGGGTGGCATGGACAGCTGCTTCTGGCTAGGCAAAGCTGGTTTCCTTAGAGATGAGAGAAAATCTGCAAGGGGACAGATGCTTCTCAAGAGAATAATTGGCCATCAAACGATTCAGAGAGACCTTGAGAAAACCACTTGGGCCCCTAACTTTTTGCTTTTTGCAGATCCGTTTGCTAAAGTCTGGCATCAAGGACTGTCATAGGAAGCTGTGAAAAAATTAACCACAGGCAACCCCAACCTCTTTGCTTGTTCAGTTGCAGTTGTAACTTAAATAATTAAATACGGCATAGGATAAAATACTTATTTTCATAATTTTTAGTTTTTTTTTAAAAGATAAAGTCCTGATCAAACATTTTCCTTATGTTTTTCTGTATCTCTGATCCCCCGGAGGTGATCTTGTGCTGGTCTCATGACAGCGTGCTGGTGTGTGTGGAGGCTCCGGTAGTGGGTATTCCTGAGGTCAGTAGGGCACTCCAGATGGGCCTCTGCCATGCACAGAGAAGCAGACAAGAACGGGTGGTTGTACCCTGCAGGCACCTGGGTCTGAGTTAGGCCTGCACTGTCTGTGCAGCCAGTTTTCTTGAGTCTAGGCATAGTGTTGGGCTCTTTACATTGTCTCTAGCTCTGAGAACAACTCTTGTCAGGTAGGTATTTTATGAATGAGAAAACCAAGACTCAGAAAATGTGGGTGATTTGTTTAAGGTAATAGGGCAAGTAGGTGGCCGAGCTGGGAGGCAGATCCAGGCTTTTTTTTTTTTCTTTTCTGATTCCAAAGCCCTTCTGAACCCACTCCATTATCCTGACACCACAGAGCTCATGATCTGTGCGTCAGTCCTGGTGGGTGGTGCGCTGGCTGAGGGATGCTGAGAGTGGGGAGTGTAATGTGGCCTGGCTTCCAGAGCCCTCTCTAGTCCCCACTTCTGGGTCATGTCCTGGAGGAGTAACCAGCTCTTTCCTCTGCCCACTCCGGATGGAAAGACAGGACTTTGGAGCAGATGCAGTACACCCTCTGCCCTGGGAACTTACAGGGACCCACCAAATCCAGCCCCCATCTCTGTGATCACAGCACTCGTAAGTGCTCCCATTTGTAGCACTGCATCACCATGGCTACTGAAACCACCCCACTAATTCAGTCATTTCCCCCAGTCTTGGCTTAGTCACATGAGTGACAGTGCTGGTCAAGCCACCCTGGTCCCAACACACATTGCAGGGTAAAGAAAGAATCTAGGGGCCTTAGGAGTTGGTTCAAATCATCCTATTAATGCCCCCATCAACAGAAGGCAGTCCAGGCCAAACCCTGCTGTCCCTTCCCTATCGCCAATGGGCCAACCACCAGAAAGCCACACACATGACAGACTATGAGCGGAGGCTGTACAACAGACACCTGGTAGGTTTCCACATCAGGCACAGTGGCCACTTAGAAAAGGAAGAATGTGGACTTTAGAGTCACATGGACCTGGGTTTGAATCCTGAAGATTCCTCTACTGGCTGTGTGGCCTAGGGCAGGCCACTCAACCACTCTGAGCCTCAGTTGCCTGTAAAATGAGGATACAGATCTTTTCCTGTCAGCCACGCTGGGATGTTTGAAGATTATGTGAGATCCCAAATCCAAGAGAGCTGGGAGTCCCGGGCAAGTCTGACTGATGCAGCACCCCACCTCTGATATTCTGGGTACACATCTGTTCAGGTGCACCGGGAGCTGGTCCCTCTGACCCCGATTGTAAACCAGTTCATCCTGGATCCCTCCACAAGGAAGTGAGCCTCTGAGCTAACGAGACCCAGCTGTACCTGCAGTCAACCTCCCAATGACAGGAACGGCTGGAGTTGGGGTATTTCCCCTGTGTCTGAGGACATGCATTCAGGCTTTAACTGGGGCTGGGGCCTTGTGCAGGTAACCACCTGGAGGTTGGTCTCTCCCACCTGCAATCTCCCTTTACTTTTATAAAAGCCTTCTTCTTCATTGCTTCCTGAATGGGTCACAGGTCAGTATCCTCAGCCTTTTTGCATCTTAGTCAGATTAATTCCTCCAACTTAGAAAGTATTCACAATTTTGGGTCACTAATTCCAGTGGCAAATAGACGCTGAGAACACAGATATGTGCATATATACATACACACACATATACATACACACATATATGCTTTCAAATGACAACTCAGCAAGGGGAAAATGCTCTAAAAGAAAGGACATTATTGGGTCAACTGACAAAACTGGAGTATGAATGGTAGACTAGATAAGAGTATTGCATCAATGTCTGAGTTGGTAACTAAATTATGGTAATGCAAGAGAATAGCCCTATTCTTAGAAAATACTCCCTAAAGTATTTAGGTGTAAATGATGTATGTAACTTTCCCTTAAATAGTTCAGAAAAAAATTTTGCGCATATATTTATGTAAACATTATAGATACTTAGACATTCATTTATACACTTATAGGCAATGTTGTACACACACATGCACACGAAAGGGGTGGGGGAGAGAAAGCAAACATGATAAAACATAGAGGTAAAATGTTACAATACGAAAATCTGTCTAAAAGGCACATTCAGTGTTCTTCATACTATTTTTATTGCTGCAATTCTGCTGTAAATTTGAAATTATTTCAAAATAAAGTTAAAAGAAAAAGACAACCTCCAAACCTTAACTTTGTTTGCCTTTTCAAGGCAAATGTTATTTGTTTTGGGGTTTTCCATTTTAAGCCCTATATTTCTGGGTTCACGTGGAGGCAGAGGCTGATAACAGGAGCACTATGGCCTGTGATGTCTCCAACTGCTTCCTTACTTAGATTCATGTTAGATCTCAAGAAACTCCATGTGAACGTGGGGTGTGTGTATGTGCCCCTAATGAATACACACCTCTGTCTCTTTCTGTTCTCTGTTGATTGATTTAAGCCTTGAGATGCCAGCCCCAGTGCCTACAGAGGTCAGGTGAGTATGTGAATGAGTGACAAAGGCCAGGCATAAAAGAAGTCAACTACTAGAAATACAAGAAAACTTTCTTGATTTTTACTGAACTATATGGAAGCATTAAAATGGCATACAAGTAGGTATGATACTGGAAATTACATTTCCAAGTCATAGTGGGAAAAACTGAAAAAACAGAAGTAGTTCATAATTCATTTTCCCATCTCACAATCCCTTGGGCCTAGATGATTCTAGTCTTACATCCCAGAGGGTGTTGCTGGGAGCGTGTTCTTCATCATGTGGCGATGTGGAGTACGGAGTCCCACTGTGAGGCCTTTAACTGGGAGCAGTATTTCGTTTTACTCAGTTTCATAATGGAAAACAGCTGTTCACAAATGTAGGTACTCCCAAACATGGAGAGAATCTTTGCACAGTGGTTTCTATATTTTGGGTAGCTACTCCAGAGGTATTTATAGAATTCCGGTATTCCCACCTTGTCGTATTTGGTTTTCAGTACTGTGTTACACTGCAGATCAATAACCTCCATCTGCAATGCTTCATGCACGCTTTCGATTTTCATGGAGAAAGGGGAGCTAAACACGGTCAGTTCACTTTCATAGAGTTTGAAATCGGACAACCTTTTCTGGAATTCAGTCTTTAATTCCACGATTTTGGGAATGTAGTTCAGGCCATCGCTTTCATTTCTGGAAACCGATTTCAGTGTGGGAAAGTGGGCCAGATTATTCCTTGCTAAATGAGTTTCCCAAAGGCACAGTTTTGCCAGAAATGCTCGAATCAAGTCATACATTTGTGTAATGATTTGTGAATGCCCTTGAAGAGATATGTTCAAAGTGTTCAAATGCATCGTCATATCGACCAGGAAGGCCAAGTCTTTGATCCAGTCTTGAGAGCTCAGTTGAGGCAAGGGCTTTCCTCTGGATGACATAAAGGAATCAATTTCTTCCAATGATTCAAAAAATCTCTTCAGCACCAGCCCACGACTGAGCCACTTGATCTCTGTGTAGTACAGAAGGCTGCCATACTGGCTGTCCAGTTCGTAAAGCAAAGTTGTGAACTCGCTGTGGTTCAGTCCACGGGAGCATATCCAGTTCACAGAGTTAACTACCACATTCATGACGTGGTCCATCTTTAACTTTTGAGCGCAAAGTGATTCTGGGTGAATAATGCAGCAAACGGACTTCAGATCTGAGCCCTTGCAAACCATTGCCACCTTGGACTTAAGTTTTGTAACAAGTCCATCGTTCGCATCTACCATGGCAGGGGTGCCAGTTGAGGCCACGCTTACTAATTTTGACCAGTCAATATTAAACTTCTTAAGACTCTTCTCGACACGCAAAAATATCTCATTTCCAGATTTTGTACCTGTCATGGGCACTGTATCCAAAAGTTCTTCTGACACATCAAAATTCTCATCGACACCACGGATGAATATGGCTAACTGGCTGGTATTATTTATATCTGTGATCTCATCAATTGCAATAGAATATGCCACAAATGATTTGATTTTTTCACGTAATTTCTCCCATAAGTTCCCTGCCACATCTTCTACAGGCTGAATGGCAGCATTTTCCTTGGGACTCTCATTTGAAAACACTTGTTTTTGCTCAGGACACACGATTTCTGATGACCCTAAGAGATACTTTCTGAGTCCTTTTTTCAGCTCATGAAGCTTCTCGTCACGCACCTTCTCAGTGTACTGGTCATAGTGCTTACTGTGGTTGGTCTGATAATGGCGTCTTAAGTTGTATTCTTTTGACACGGACATGCTCTGTTTGCATATTAAACATGTAGGAATATTCTGCACTTCCACGAAGAAATATGCTCTCTCCCACTTTTCTTGAAATACACGGCCCTCTTGGTCTATCTTTCTTTTTCCCACTTTTGATAGAAACATGGAGACAAGAAATATTTCATTTTTCTCTTAACTCTACTATTAGAAAAGCAGCAGCAAAAGGACAATGATAAACAGGAGCGATAAAGTGGCTGGGGGCCTGGTTAGCTGGAGAGTAACCTGCTCCTGTAGAGAGAGGCGGCTGACACTCAGCTCCAGCAAACTGCTACCAGAGGGAACATGGGTCCACTGGGGCCAGATCTTCAGATTTCTGAAGAAAACCTGGAAATCGATTTTCATGAAAAAGTCCCTGGCTATTTAATGTTGGTTACTACTTCCCATTTTAAAAATGTATGTGAGCCAAACAAAAGACATCTTTAGTGGCTCTGTTTGCCACATCCAGTTTAAACAGGAATGATTTAAAAATATATTTGCATTTTAACATATTTTTTTCATTTGATTCTCAAGAAAATATTGAAATCAGAAAAGAAAATGAGCACAGGTATATGATTTACTTGCTGTGAGTCACAAAAGAC